GGAAATATAGAGCAATATAGGCCTACCTCCAGAAACACAAAAGCTCAAACAAACAATCCATCCTTAGATCTAAATGAACTAGAAAAAGAACAAGCAAAGCTCCAAGTTAGTAGAAGGAAGGAAATAATAAAGATCATAGTGGAAATAAATGAAATAGACTAAAAAACAATAGACAAGATCAATGAAACCAAGAGCTGGTTCTTTGAAAAAACAAAATTGATAAACCTTTGGCCAGAGTCATCAGGAAAAAAAAACGAGAGGACTGAAATAAAGAAAATCAGAAATTAAAAAGGGGAAGTAACAACTGACATCCATAAAATGCAAAGGATTATAAGAGAATATGAAAAAGTATATGCCAACACACTGGACAACCTAGAAGAAATGGATAAATTCCTAGAAACATACATTCGTCCAAAACTAAATCAGGAAGAAATAAAAAATTTGAACACACCCAATACTAGTAATGAAACTGAATTGGTAATCAAAAAACTCCAAGGAAACAAAAGTCCAGGACCCAGTGGATTCACAGGTAAATTCTACTAACCATTAAAGAAGAGTTAATACCTATTCTCTTCAAACTATTCCAAAAATAGAAGAGGAAGGAAAGCTTCCAAATACATCCTATGAGGCCAGCATTACTCTGAACCAAAACCAGACCAAGATGCTACAAAAAAAGAAAAGCACAGGTCAATATCCCTGATGAACTCAGATGCAAAAATCCTCAACAAAATATTAGCAAACCAAATCCAAAAATACATTAAAAGTATCATTCACACAATCAAGTGGGACTTATTCTGGGAATAAAAGGATGGTTCAACATCAGCAAATCCATCAGTGGGATACACCACACTAACAAAATGAAGGATAAAAACCATAGAAGCATTTCAATAAATGCAGAAAAAGCATTTGACAAAATTCAACACCCATTCATGATAAAAAAAGAAAACCTCTAAAAAAATTGAGTTTAAAGGGAACATACCTCAACATAATAAAGGTCACACATGACAAACCCACAACTAAAATCATATATAATGGTGAAAAACAGAGCTTTCTCTCTAAGATCAGGAGCAAGACAAGGATGTCCACTCCCACTACTTTTATTCAACATAATACTGGAAGTCCTAGACACAGCAACAGATGAAAAATAAAAGGCATCCAAACTGATAAGAAAGAAGTAGTAAAACTGTTGCTATTTGCAGATGACATGATACTATATACAGAAAACCCTAAAGACTCCACCAAAAAACTATTAGAATAAAAGAATTCTGTAAAGTTGCAGGATACAAACGTAATACACAAAAATATATTGGATTTCTGTAATTAATAACGAAGTTGCAGAAAGAGAAATTAACAATCTCATTTACAATTGCACCAAAAAGAATAAAATAACTAGGAATAAACTTAACCCAAGAGATGAAAGACCTCTAAAACTATAACACACTGATGAAAGAAACTGAAGATGACACAAACAAATGGAAAGATAATCCATGCTCATGGATTAGAAGAATTAATATTATTAAAACATCCATACTACCCAAAGCAATCTACAGATCCAATGCAATCCCTATCAAAACACCAACAGCATTTTTCACATATCTAGAACAAATAATCCTAAAATTTGTATGGAGCCACAAAATACCCTGAATAGCCAAACCAATCTTGTGAAAGAAGAACAAAGCTGGAGGTATTAAAATCCCAGATTTCAAGATATACTACAGAGCTATAATAATGAAAACAGTATGGTGCTGGCACAAATACAGACACATAGATCAATAGAATAGAATAAAGAGCCCAGAAATACACAAACGCTTCTATGGTCAATGAACCTGTGACAAAGGAGGCAAGAATATACAATGGGGAAAAGACAGTCACTTCAATAAATGGTGCTGGGAAAACTGGACAGGTACATGCAAAAGATTAAACTGGACCACTTTCTAACACCATACACAAAACTAAACTCAAAATAGATTAAATGTGAGACGTTAAATCATAAAACTCCTAAAGAAAAATAGGCAGCAATTTCTTTGCCATTAGCCTTAGCAACTTTTTTCTAGATAGTCTCCTCAGAAAAGGGATACAAAAGCAAAAATAAATGATTGGGACTGCATCCAAATAAAAAGCTTTTGCACAGTGAAGGAAACCATCAACAAAATGAAAAGGCAACCTACTGAATAAGAGAAGATATTTGCCAATGATGTATCTGATAAGGGGTTAGTATCCAAAATATATAAAGAACTTATACAAGTAAACAGCAAAAATAAACAAAAAACCCAAATAATCCAATTAAAAAATGGGCAGAGGACCTAAACAGACATTTTTCCAAAGAAGACATCCAAATGGCCAACAGACACATGAAAAGATGCTCAGCATCAGTTGTCATCAAGGAAACACAAATCGAAACCACAATGAGATATCACCTCATACCTACCAGAATGGCTAAAATTAACAACACAAGAAACAACAAGTGTTGGTGAGGATATGGAGAAAAAGGAACCCTCATGCCCTTTTGGTTGTGGGAATGTAAATTGGTGCAGCCACTGTGAAAGCTGGAATGGAAGTTCCTCAGAAAATTAAAAATAGAACTACCCTATGACCCAGTAATTCCACTACTGGATATTTACCCAGAGAAAATGAAAACACTAATTTGAAAAGATGTATACAGCCCTAGTTTTATTACAGCATTATTTACAATAGCCAAGACTATGGAAGTAACCTAAATGTCCACTAGTAGATGAATAAAGAAAATATGGTACATATATACAATGGAGTATTACTGAGCCATAAAAAAGAATGAAATCTACACTGTTGGTGGGAATGCAAGCTGGTGCAGCCACTCTGGAAAACAGTATGGAGGTTCCTCAAAAAGTTGAAAATAGAGCTACCATACAACCCAGCAATTGCACTACTGGGTATTTACCCCAAAGATAAATATGTAGTGATCCGAAGGGGCTCCTGCACCCCAATGTTTATAGCAGCAATGTCCACAGTAGCCAAACTATGGAAAGAGCCTAGATGTCTATCAACAGATGAACAGATAAAGAAGATGTGGTATATGTACACAATGGAATATTATGCAGCCATCAAAAAATATGAAATTTTGTCATTTGCAATGATGGGGATGGAACTAGAGGGTATTATGCTAAGCGAAATAACTCAATCAGAGAAAGACATGTATCATATGATCTCACTGATATGTGGAATTTGAGAAACAAGACAGAGGATCACAGGGGAAGAGAGGGAAAAATGAAACAAGATGAAAGCAGGGAGGGAGACAAACCATAAGAGACTCTTAATCTCAGGAAACAAACTGAGGGTTGCTGGAGTGGAGGGGGATGGGAGGAATGGGGTGGCTGGGTGATGGACACTGGGGAGGGTATGTGCTATGGTGAGCACTGTGAATTGTGCAAGACTGTTGAATCACAGACCTGTACCCCTGAAATAAATAATACATTATATGTTAATAAAAAAAAAAGAATGAAATCTTGCCATTTGTGACAACACAGATGGACCCAGAGGGTATTACACTAAGTGAAATAAGTCAGACAAATATTGTATGATTTCACTTAAATGTGGAATCTTAAAACAAACAAACATACAAATGAACAAACAAACAAAAAACCAGAATCAGACCTATAAATACCAAGAATGAACTGATGGTTCATTCACAGCAGGGAGAGGAAATGGGGAGGGGCAAAATGGGTGAAGGGGAAGGCGTGGACTGGGCTTCCACTTATGGAATGTGTAAGTTAGGGGGACAAAAGGCACAGCACAAGGACCACGATCAATGGCACTGTAATATACTGTAATATGCTGTAATATACTGTAATATACTGTAATATGCTGTATGGTGACCAATGGGAGCTACACTTGTGGTGAGCACAGCGTAAGGCACAGAATTATTGAATCACTACGTCGTACAACTGAAACTAACATAACAGTGTGTGTCAACTCTACTTCATAAAAGACAAAAATGAAAAGGCAAACTCTGGGAGTAGATATTTATAATACACATAACAAGGAAAAGAACTCAAATCTATTATATGAGTAAAAATTCTATCAATCAGTAAAGAAAAGACAGAGATAACCCAATAGAAAAAATGGGTATTAACCAACAGTTCACAAAAGATGATATTCAAATGGTCAACTGATCCATGAAAACATGCTCAATGAATGATCTCTGATACCTTTCAGAATGGTCAAAATGAAAAAGACTGAGTCTTGGTGAAGATGTGGAACAACCAGAAATCTCACTCACTGCGTACGGCAGCATAAACAGTCACTTTGGGGGAAAAAAACTAGCAGGGGGTAGAGGAGTTATTACCCACTAAAGGAGAAAAAAAGAGATATTTTAACCAAATGCAGTGTTTGAATTCGGATTCAAATAAACCAAATGTAAACTGACTTTTTTTTAACAAATGGAGGAAAATCAGACGTGGGTCGATATTAGTTAATATTAATTAATATTAATTAATGTTAATATTCCTGGGTGTGATCATGGTTAGTTTTTTTTAAGGTTTTTATTTATTTGTCAGAGAGAGAGAGACGGCCGGCAGAGGGAGAGGGAGAAGCAGACTCCCTGCTGAGCAGGGAGCCCGATGTGGGACTGGATCCCAGGACCCTATGATCATGACCTGAGCCGAAGGCAGATGCTTAACTGACTGAGCCACCCAGGTGCCCCGATAATGGTTATTTTGTAAAAGTGCTTACCTGTTAGAGATACATACTGAAGTATTAACTAAAGAATGACCCAATGTCTAGGCTTTTCCTTAAAACACTTCCAGTGTATGCATGTGTACCTAGACCCACACACAAGGAAGTTGTGGGAGTGATACACAAAACCAGATTTGCAGAAAACAGATAATTACTGAAGGTAGGTGATGGGCACACAAGGGTTTATTACAGTCTTTTCTCTAATTTTGTATATGGCTTCAATTCCATGAATGACTTCAAAACATAAGGAAGCTGATGAAGGGGGAGCTGGAAAGAAATAAGATTTTTACCTCATAAACTGGCCCAATTTCATAATCTGTGAAAAATCCGATTGATGGTTTAGCTAGAAACACTGGAGTATCAGCACAACTGTCAGAGGGCAAACAAGGGGAGAAAGGCTGTTAGTCTCACCCACGTGATTTGTGCAAAATAAAAACACCCAAACTGCCAAAGATAATCACAATATGTCATTTATTGGGTTTTGTTCCTGTTGTTAAAGCAGGCAACAAAATAATTTTACCATATGATAGAATCTTCATGAAGATACGTGCAGCTGTGTGGTTCATTTTCAATATGCATATAGGAAGCCTCCACTCTGGAAGCTTCCATGCCAATATCCTGACTGGATTTTTAATATAGGTGCTGTGTTTCTTTGCATATATTAGTCCTTTTTCTTAATAAAAAAGATATCATTTGACTAATAAGTGTTAATCATTTTAAGTCCCCTGAAATTATGAACCCATGAAACCATTCATTCCCTTCACAAGGACAATTAATAAAATAAGCCAAAGGCACTCTGAAAGAAAATCACAATTTATATGTATTATTTGCAATTAATCAAATTTTAAATATTTTTATTTTTAGGGTCATATTCCAAGACATATGAGTGCAAGGGAAGAGAACATGGCTACAGACCAAGACTGTTCAGATGAAAGCAGGGGACCAGCACTAACCCCCAATCCTTCAAAACCCCGGCAGGTCAGAAAAGCACAAACCCAGGCTTCTTGGGGATGTCCAAAGGCCAGGTCTGTGGGGAGCCCTGAAGACCTGCTCTGTTCTGATACTGACATCCCATTCCCGCCACCTCCCCGAAAAGTCCAGACCAGACCCTGGACCTTCTGGGTTTACTCCCACACAGCCAACTTTCTGATAAATCCAAGTCGGGGAAAGACCCACCTCTGCTCCAGATCTCCACCTTGGAAATCTCCTGTCAGTACTGGCTTCTTCGGAGGAAAGAGAAGAGACTTGCCTCCATAGGGAGTGTTAGGAGGGAAAAACCGAGGGTTTTTTAGGAAGTGGTTCCGACTCTCCATTCTGGCAAGCAGAAGTCGCTCCAGTTCTCTCTGGGGCACGTGTAAGTGGTTCATCCACTTTTTATTCTTGGGTGGACCTGCCTTCTTTGAAACACAAAAAAATAAGAGTCCATGACAGGCCGAGGGACTGTGTGTGCTGACATTGGGCCAACTGCATGACCCCCCCCCCCCGTAAGCAACGCAATCTCTCCTATTTCGCTGCAGACCCGCAACTTCCTGTGTCACCGGGAACTCCTTCCCCTCGACGCCTCCATGTGCCCACTGCCCCCACACACCACCGCGCACGGGCTTCCACACCAACCTTGACGGCCTTGCGCTTGGCCTTTGAACACAAGTCCCCCGTCAGGCTGTCCACAGTGTAGTCTAACTCGTCTTGAGACTTAGTGAGCGTCTTCTTGCAGGAAGCCTCAACCTTCTTGGTCAGGTGCTTCTTGGGGACGGAACACTTCTCACAACTGAATGTGAGTTTTGAACATCCAGGGACGGAGACACCTATGGCACCAAGGAATCAAACTGAGCTGCCACAGACTGAAGTGGATGTTTCTAAGATGACTATAAAACCACCGGGGCCACAGTTAGCTTGATACTTTCCCTTCAACTTTCACATTCACTACACTAGACATAACTGCTCTTTAGCGTATAAAGTACTCCTGGAACTTATTCTATGTACTCGAGACTTAGGACTAGAGTGTTACGTATTTGTTTGATTGTCGAACATGGTCAAAGAACATGAGTAGACTACTGTCTGTCTGTCTCACGCATTCCCCATATGTGAACTTGCTTTTCAAAAGCTCACATGAGGAATCAAAGTTTCTATTAGATTTTTACTCCTCTAAGATCATCCCCAGAAGGTTAAAGGAGAACGCCCATTGCTAGCAAGAACTGGTACCAGTACAATACCTGGTAAATCCTCAATACATGTTAACTCTATCCTCACTTATCTGCATAAGATGGTGAATTCCCAACTAACTTTGCACTATTAAGAGGCTTAGTATCATGCGACGCTTACTTCTGCTCCCTCTCTCTGGCCTGTCCTCTCTACACGGCTCAGGCTGTCAATGGAACTCTGTTCTCCTGAGCACCCTCAATTCTCTGGATCCCAGTCTTCCCATACCAAATGCCTTCTCAGCTCCAAAGCCTCAGAGGTCATCAGAGTCCCACTGACTGGTGCCTGGAGAGCTCGTCTTCCAAACCTGGCACCACTGGGCCATCCGGATATGTGCCCAATGGATCCACAGAGCAACTTCTCCCTATCTATACACTGACTCTGCCAAAAGTCTACCTCCCTGCTTAAACCCACAATCCAGCTCCCACCCCACTCACTCTCAGAAGATCCTGCCTCCCGCATCACAGGAAACTGGCCCGACATCACACATACGAATACACACCCTTCTCTGCCTCCCTACCCAGTCTTCCCACCAAACTCAAAGAAGGTACAGTTGCTCTTTTCCTACGTGGGGTATGGAAGAACCCCACGGTCCATGTTCTGGCTGCAGTCGGAACTTGCTCCCTTATCTGTCTTCAGTCCCTCCCTCTCTTGGGTCATTCAACTACTTTTCTAAGCATTTTCATCTCTCTTGGTGTTGAACAGCTGACAAGGGCGCAAATTCCACATGGAGGAGTTGAGACTTTTGTCTTGCAGGTGTTAGGGAGTCAGAGAGGAAGGGGCGTGCTTAGAGCTGACCCTCCTAAGAGTCACTATCAAAATTAAACAAAAGGGGAAAAAAATCAATGAGGAAATGGCAGCAAAGGTGGCCAGAGTGGTCGCGTTCCTAAAGAACTTCCCGAGAATGAGAGCAGAGGCCGCAGCAGACTACAGAAGCCTTACCTTTAGGTGCAGAGCAAAATGGCACCATGTCACTGTAGTAATCATCTGGGCAGATCAAATGGTGTTTCTGTAGCAACTCACTGTCCACACACCATCTGAACATAGTCTTCACTACATAGAAGGGAAGAAGGACAAACGTGTTTGAAGCCAGACTGATGTTAAAGAACCTGCACCCCAAACTTTTTCATCCTCCAAATCTAAACCATCTTACAAAATTCTTTCCAAGGACCAAGAACAAATTTATGATGACATGCATGTGGTCATTTCGAGATTTCAGAAATTAATCAGCAAATGTTGACCAGACACTTCACAGAGGCCAACCATTAGTCAGGGCTGTGCTGTGGTCTTATTTGAGCTAAAATACTGTGTGACTCAAGGAGAGGTCTATTAATAAAATATAATTAAGGACAGTATGGCAGATTAAAGAAATGGCCCCAATCCTTCACCCTTCTCTGTATCCACACCCTTTGCCATATGACTTTGTAGTTCCTTCTACTAAAGACAGAGTGCACTCCTTTGCCCTTGACTTTGGCCATGTGATGTGCTTTGGCCAATGAGATGTTGGCAGGGGTTTGCACAGCTGAGCCTTCTCTCTTGTGCCTTTGCCATTCTCATGAGAGAGCTTCCTTGCCCCTGAGAAGAGCTCCTGCCTCTTTATTTTGGACTCCAGCATGAATCCATGTGGAGCAGACTTGAGCCTAATTTGTAACAAGGAGGCAAGTTCAGCTGGGCCCACAGCTTAAAGCTGGTCTAGCCAGCCAAGCCCAGGTAGATCAGCCAACCCCCAACAGATCCACTGACACATGAGAGAGAAAATCTCCTTTAATAGAGTAAGAAGTCAGTCATTAATATCCATGGCTGATGAGCCAAGAAAAAATAGGAGAGACATATTATTTAGAGGTATCCAGAAGAAGTAAAGCCAAAAATGGCTACCTTTGGCAGGTGGGCTGAGATTGGGAGAGGTGACATGGAGGATTTTTTTCAATAGACTTTATTTTTTTTTATTTTATTATTTTTTTAAAGATTTTACTTATTTCTTTGTCAGAGAGAGAGAGAGAGAGAATGAGCACAAGCAAGGGGAGTGTGAGAGGGAGAAGCAGGCTCCCTGCTGAGCAAGGAGCCCGATGCGGGACTCGATCCCAGGACCCTGGGATCATGACCTGAGCCAAAGGCAGACGTTTAACTGACTGAGCCACCCAGGCAGCCCTAGATTTTATTTTTTAGAGCACTTTTAGGTTCGTAGAAAAATTGGGTGGAATGGAGATGTCCCATAGAGCCCCTGGCCCCACACATGCACAGCCACCCCCACCATCAACACAGCCCACCAGAGTGGTACATCTGTTCCAACTGATGATCCCACACTGACACACTGTTATCATACAGAGTCCATACTTTACATTACAGTTCACTCTTGGTGTTGGAGATCTATGGGTTTGGCCAAATTTATAATGACATGCATGGGTAGAGGCTTTTTATAGTTCATTAGAAGCTTTTCTAAACTATTTGATTTTTTTAAAACCATGTATATTAACACTTTGATAAAAATTCAGGAATAAAGAAGATGAATGGAAGACTCAGGAAGTTTTCAAACTTCGTTGCTTGCTCCATTAACCAACATGGCCTTGCCCTTTGGAGGTTTCCCATAACCAAGGGTGAGACAAGCGAAGAATAAATGTTTCTCCCATAATATTTATTAATTTAGGAATTTCAAGGTTTGGCTTAGTTCCTGTTATAGTCAGGGTTCAGTGAGGAAAACAGAAATCACTCTCTGTACGTCATATATAAAGCGACTGAATGCAGGGGACTATGGAATGGGAGATCAAAGGTCAGGGAGACTATCGCTACCAACTTAAGACAGCAGCACTGAGGGAGGGGCTTCTCAAGAAGTTATCTGGAAGCTGCTGTGAAACTCACAGCTGCTCAGTCATCTGCCTGCTACTGCTTCTGGAAAATAGTGACCTCCTCCTCCTCCAAAAGTCACCAAGAGCCTTTCATGAGTGACCTAACATGGAACCATGGGGAAAAGTTGCATTCTGGGAAATGCCTCGCTTCTCCTTTGCAATACAAAGACCTCAGCAGGGGGTGGCAGGAATGCCAGGTTCTGTTCCAGCCCAGTTCCCAAGGACTTTGGTGAGGGCCTATTTGAAATATTATAAGATAAAACTTCCACACAAAGGGCAGGGGCCATGTGGGAAGATGTAGCCTCTCTCTTCTGATACCCTTGTCTCCGCAGTCCTCCCCCAGGCTGTGGACAGTTAGGTGTTACGTCTGCAGAAGCAGGGGGCAGGTTGTGTGTCAGCTATTTGGAAAGGCTCTCTTGTCCGGCCTGGACTCCGTGAGCCTTGGAACACCCCTCACCGGCATCCTCCTCCACCCGGGAAGAGTGGGCTTCCTGCACCGACCCTATGCTCCTGCACCTGGCTCTGTTCCACTCCCCAAGAGATAATGTGGACAACTTATCAGCAACGGAAGGGAACGAAAGCAAAAAATGTTCTGATCTTCCCCCTCTGTCTGGAGAATTTACATATGTTTTCCACTTGGTGACATTTGTATTAGCAAACAGAGAAAGGCTGCCTCTGTGCCTCAAATAAGAAAAGTTGCAGGGGCATGTCCTCCCCATCAATCATCTAAGGTATAAAGAAGGTTCTTGGGTCACCTTGCCCTTTTCCCCCAACCAGAAGCAGGACCCAGAGGGATGTCCGTGGAACTGGATCAAGATCTCTACTTCTGCTACTTTTGAAATAAAAAAGAAACGTTACCAGAAGGCAGAGAAATGTTACCAGAAGGCTGAGAAACCAGGGCAGATAATGTCCGATTATAACAATATTATCTTGGGTAAAAAAATAAAATGAAGGTCATTGAAAAACTCCCCTGACTCGGGTTTGTTTCTCAGTTTGCAGCGTTTTATTTCACTTTCATTTAAAAACAACCAAACAATTATTTCATCCCCCTTGATCTCTAGCCAATAGAATCCTAGGAACAGTGTTGGACTCCCGGGACTCGGGGCACAACAGGCAACCAATAATACCTCTCGAGAATCTGCTACCAACAATCTCTGCCGAATCCACAATGCAGCGAGGGTCCTGGCAGCTACACGACTCTGCTCTGGAGGCGGAGGAACAGAAGATCGGAATACACACTGAATGCTCACTGTCTGCTATGTTGAGCCTCAGAGGTGGCAGGTTTGACCAAGTTCAGGGCCTCGCGCCCAGAGCCATGGCCTACGGGAAGTCACCGACACCTGTGTGACACCCTGCCTGGTCTGGTCAACAATCCTTCCTCCCGCTCCTGATAGAAGAGAGGCGGGCTCTGACAGCAGACTCACTCAAGTCCAAATCTGGCTCCCAGCCCTTCTGAGTTGTGGGAATTGAGGAAAGTCATTTGATCCTTTCTCTCAGTTTAGTTCCTGCAGCTATAAAATGGAGAGAAAACCTACCTCACAGGGCTGTTAGAAGGGTTCAGCGGGATAACCTATACAAAGCATCTTGCATAGCAACTGGTCCCTAGTAGGACCCCGTAAGTCCAATGCCTTTCCAAGCCAATACACCTTCCACTTCTCCTTCCCTCTGGGCCACAGATACGCTGGGTCTCCTGACCCTAAAAGCACAGTCCCCACTGCCTATTGCACTGGAAAATGATGACTTTTAGGGATGCAGGAGGAAAGATCAAAGTCTTTGGGGACAATAAAAGGAACCAGGCCTTCTTGGAGAAATGGCTGATTCCAGGTCTGGGGCAATAAGATAAGCCTGGAATATTTGACCATTCCAGGAAATAAGGAAGTTATCAAAGACAACTGCTATTGTATCAAAAGAGTTAGGAGAGAACTTGAAAAGGCTCCAACCGGCCAAAGATGGGACAACTTGAGCATTGATAAAGATAATAAATAGAACTGTAGTTATGAAATCCATGAGTTCATAATGATACTGAAAATCAACCAACAAACCTCTTTGGTCACCTTTGGAAGATGCTAGGGGAACCAACTCATTATTTTAAAAACTGGCAAAGAGGGGTACCTGGGTGGCTCAGTCAGTTAAGCGTCTGCCTTCGGCTCAGGTCATGATCCCAGGGTCCTGGGATCGAGCCCCGCATCAGGCTCCCTGCTCAGTGGGGAGTCTGCTTCTCCCTCTCCCTCTGCCTGCCACTCCCCCTGTTTGTGCTCTCTCTGTCAAATAAATAAATTATTTAAAAAATAATAAAAATAATAAAAATAAAAACTGGCAAATAAGGGGAAAGAATTAATCCTGCCCATTCGTACCTTGGGGTAATCATAGTAGTAGCTGAAAAGTTTCTCTTTATGGAAGTACCAGTACGATTAGCATTTTGTCCTTATTTACAACCCCTAATGAAATAACAGATCCAGGCGAAGGCCACCAGCAACACGGAGGGAGAGACATCAGACATCACATACCTCCTGAAGACAGCACACAGCACAACCTATGAAGTGGTCTTGCCCCTTTCCTCCACAAAAAAAACTGAGCCTAAACCTTATAAAGTCTCTAGAACTAATTACTGAATTGCAGGAAACACAGGAACCAGGAAGACAGGTTTAACAACACCACAATGTTGAAATCAGCAAAATCTAGACTACAGACAAGTCTATAGGAAAAACAATCCAATTTCTTTAGCAAATAAATTGATAATGGGGGCGCCTGGGTGGCTCAGTCGTTAAGCATCTGCCTTCAGCTCAGGTCATGATCCCAGGGTCCTGGGATGGAGCCCCACGTCAGGCTCCCTGCTTGGAGGGAAGTCTGCTTCTCCCTCTCCCACTCCCCCTGCTTGTGTTCCCTCTCTCACTGTGTCTCTCTCTATCAAATAAATAAATAAAATCTTTAAAAATAAATAAATAAATAAATTGATAATGGAGGTGACTGACTGAAATAAAGGCTTTTCCGTGAATGCTGGTAGCGAGGGAGCTTTGAGGTGGAAGGAGAATCGGCAAAATCTGAGGCTACCTCTCCATGAACACTCATCGGTTATAATTTAATTTGGAGAATTTAACGTAGACAAACCCCAGCAGATGCCAACTTGACCAGGTGATCCAGGTTAATATCACCTGTGCCTTCTGACCGCTGCGGCGAGGAGAGGGCCCCACAACTTCTGTGGTATTGCTG